ATATATATATATTTTTTTTTTTTTACTTTTTTGACAAACCTACCCAAAGTTATCTCAATTTTCATATAAAACTATCAGTACTGGGTAGGTTCTTTTCTTTTTCTTTACACATTTTTCAAATTGCTGGATTTTTCGTACTTGGAGACTGATGAATAATTATTGTAAAAATTTATAATTACTAAATATGTATATATACTGTTCTATAATATGAAATATCACATTTTTACTAATTTCTTACACAGATGAAACACACTTATTAAAAGAATTATAAAGATATGATACAAACTTTATCTTTATGTTTAAAATAATTAATAAGTTCAAAATCAGAATATTATCTTTCATGTCTTGAAATACAGAACTCAAAAATTAGAATGTCAAATAAACATACTCATCAATATCTTGTTGTAATTTCTTCCCATCAAGGATTCCTTTTAGTTTAGCAAAGAACAGTAGATGTTCCTTTACAGTAAGCCTAAAAATATATAGTAATATTCTTTAGTAATACAAATTTACACTTTTTTTGGAAAGATATACATCAGAAATTTGACATAGTTCTATGCATTATATTGTACCAGGTTCAAGTTAAATTTAGTAGATATATCTATATTTTTATTGAAAGAAGCAGAAATATAAACCACATTTGTTGAAAAAAATGTTACAAACTAAGGTAAGTATAATAAAAGGCTTTGAATGATACATATAATACAGATAAATAAATCTCCATTTAAAAAAAGTAAGAACTATTTGTATAAAAAATAGAAAAACAGACTGACAAGGAAAGTTTAAAGAAACTGAACAAATCAATGTAGGCCTAACAGACTATCCTTTAAACAAATAAATTTCAATAGGTTTAAGATTTAAACAATCAGGTTTTAAAACTTACATTCAAAACTACAATATTAATTTGGATAATTTTAAGTAATGTGAATTGTACATACTAGTTTTGGTGAATTCATAATATTTATAAACAAAACATTAATTAAAGATGTTTAACTAGATGCTAGTTAAATATTTTACCTGCTGTTTTTGGGGTGAAATAATAAATATTACAGGTGATTTATGGATTTATGTTTTTCAAGTATTTCTAATAAAGCTATTAATATTCATTAGTTTTAGTTAAACATCAAAAGTAACAAACTGACTTAAATTGTGAATAGTGTTGATATAGAATTTAGACTAAATTCTTGTACTAATTGATTCAATGACAACAGTCTATTAAGATTTTACATATTTTGCTAATAATAGATTTAATTACCTTGCAAACAAAATATTGTATTGTGGACAGTAACCAAGTAGTTTTTGAACTCCTGAAAATTCATCTGGTAAAATTTTCCCATATACAAATGCTGCTCCTGAAGTTGGTTGCTGCTGACCAGTGAGTACATTTCTGTAACAAAGTACTAGCATTATACAACTTGATTAAAAGCGGGAGCAAACTGAGATCTTCTACATTTGCACTCCCATTCTTCAATTCTGCACTGAAGTGATGAAGCAGCAACTGAACTCTGATCTACTATTCTCTTCATTAAATCATTATAATGATTACATAAAGTTTAATCAAATGGATTGTCGAAACTAGAAAATAATATCTTTATTTAAGAAACTGGAAGCTCCTAAAACCACAAAAAAAGGTTTTTCATAAAAAAAATTAAATTTCAATCCTAAAAATTATAGTCGTTTCTTGTTTTGTTTGAAAGTTGTTCATAAATAGTGAAGGGTAAAATGCTGGTTTTATGTTGAAATTTTTGAAACATTAAACCTAAATAAGTGTTTGTTTAAATCAACTTATTTCAAATCCTGAAATTGAACCAATTGAAAAATTAAGAGTAAAAATGTGAAAGTTATACCTAAATTAATAAAAACAATAAGTTGTTGTAAAATGTTAAACACACAGAACTTAAAATATAAAAATTAAGGCTATACAATTCCCTTTGTAAACATATACTTCAGTAACTGTGAAAAACACTGAATGCCTGATTATGTTTACTGATTTCTTATTAGTTTTTGCATGATAAAGAAACTACTTAAATTAATGTGATCTACTTTAAAAATAAAAAAATAAAGCTCATTAATGTTTATTTAGACATCACTTGTTCTCAGTGTATAAAGAATGAGATACTAGAGCATGTTTCTCTTGCCTAATGGCTCAATTGTGTCACAGTTCAATTTAAAAGACAACATAAAAGTTAAGAAAGTGGCACAAATGACAGGACAAACTGGTTGTGTGTGATTTGCTGTTTGACCTTAAAATATCAATTTTTTACATGGCTGAAAATTATACAGAACCTAAAATATTACAGTATAACTTACAGATGTAATAAATTATCTTTCCTTTTATTTAAGTTTAACTTAATTCTCTAACTATCTCAACTATTGACTACAGACATGAGAGAAGTCAGTTCAATTAAACAAACAAATAAAAAAATATACAGAACTGGCATAGTGGTATTCCTCACTAATTACACTCTTTACACTAAATAAAAAATAAATATGATCTCATAGACATTTTACTTAAACAATAGTTAAACTTAAACATCATCATCTACCATTTTAAATCAAATTACATATATATTCATAACTAACAATGATTCAAGCAAAGCTAAATTTAAATGCTTTAAAACATTTAAACACTTTAACTTTAAATAAACTGTTATATAAAAGTAACTTAAATTAATTACAATTGTTTAATGTATTAGAAAAACACTTACATGGTGGTTGTCTTCCCAGCACCATTCTGTCCCAGTAGAGTTGTGATGTGACCTTCATAAAGTTCAAGGGTCAGTCCTGCTACTGCCGTATGTTGAAAAGATCGCCCAGCATTGTAAACTACATGCAGATTGTGAAGTGATATTCCAACTTGACCAGTTGTTCCAGTGGCCATTTCACAATTGTCCAAATTCTTTATTTCTTGAACTATAGAAATAAGTAAAACAAATATAGAGCTTATTAAATGCAGCTCATCACATACACAAAAGACAGTAACAGAGACAACAGTTTTAGGTAATATGCATGTAGTATCTATGCTATTATTTTGCTTGTTTGTATGTACGACCATTACACTTTCTGACCGAGAACCTGCTGCATAAGCAT